TACCCTTTAACAACTGCAATACAAATTCTAATTCATCTAATGCTACCTCTGTATTTTGAGGAGGGGGAAAATACATGCTTACTACATAAAAAGATATATCCTCGAAAAGAATCTGTGCAACAGCACAAGTCTCTGAAGATAAATGTGCTAATTCCAATACCGTCCACCTATCATTCCAAATAATGGCAGCCACGCTGTTTTATCCAAACACTGCACTACCCTAACAGCAATTCCAAACCCAACTATCTTATTCTTTACAACATAAGGTTCTTGAACAAGAAACATGTCAACCCCCTTATCCTCTCCTAAAATCCTTAACTCCATTGGTACCAAAGCCTTTCTCTGCATATTCAATTGTATAATCCGAACCTGGTTAAATTTATTCCGATCACCCATAATCTATATATTGTTTATACCTACTAATTGAGACCTGATATAAAAAGCAATCTCAAGATCTACCAATATGGTTATATGGCTTCCCCATCTTCTTACATGAAACACACAATTTACCTTGTACATCTTCCTCACAATCCCTGCCTCTATGTCCCCCTCCTCCACACTTATAGCATATATCTTTATCCGACCTACAGTTCTTAGCAATTTGTCCGAAAGACTGACACTTAAAACATCGCGACACCTCAAAGTAATCTTTTACTGGACAACTCCTATACTCTATGTACAACCTTGACAAAGTCAACAATTTCTTTCGCAAACTCGGAGAGACCTCAAATACCCAATTTGCAAGAAAGTCCCTCCTCCTCCCAATCCTATACAACAACCTAAAATCATTAACAAAGTCCTCATATTCACTAACTTCTCCTCCATATATTAAGTCTGAATTCAAAGAATAAATAATCCTACATAAATCATCCTCCACTAACTCTCTCGATACATCCACCAACATCATCCTCGATCTACGCTTAACAGGACATTGAATCTTCAACTGAGTCATCTTCAATTCCGTATGATCTAATATCTTATCATTATCCTGATCTGACACAACCGTGACCACCAACCCACTATCTCGCATTTTCCGAATAGCGTTTATTTGAATATGATCTTTAATAGGGTCTATAACTTCCAAAAATCTCTGTTTAATATCATCACTATTCTCATCCTCTTCACCTCTAACCAACACAACATTCTCACGATCTCCTTTAGACAATCTAGGCTCTACAGCTTCTGCATACGACTTCCCGAACAATTGCCTACTCTCCATTTCACCAAAAGCCTGTAATTTACCTCGCAACAATTCATTATCTAAAACTAATGCATGTACTATATCCTTCAACTCCATCACCAACTCACTAAGGTTTTTAATCATAGGCTTAGTCAATCTTGCATCCTTCTGCGTTATTAATTTATTAATATCTAAAGCTATACGTCCAGCATTATCCAAAGTCTCCAAAGAACTTTCCTTAAGATCCCCACCTATACGTTGTACTTCACCACTCTTTGCTACCTTACTACTTTGTCTAACTTTTGTGTGGGAGCCAGGCTGCTCCCCCCACCCCGCACTTGTAAACTAGTTATCTTTTTTTCCACTATCCATGCTAATTTATTAGAAATAAACCCCAAAAAACCCCCCCGACCCAGGTGCAAACCTAATTTCCTACACCACACATGCACCCGACCACGCCCAGGGCCTATGAGAGGGCCAAAGGCAGGCCCCGTGGCCTCGGCAGTGGACCCCACCCCATGCCAGAGGGGCCTGTCCAGGGCGCCAACCTTCACTCTGACAGGGGGCGAGATTTTTCACCCCCTGATTGGGGCTGCCAGTTAGGAATGGCAGGTTCCACCGGGCCCCTCACTATGGGGTGCCCCAGGTGTGCTACCCCCAGTTTTAATGCTGTACCCTCGGGGACTGCCTTCAGTCCTCTCTCCCCGAGTCCATGATCCAAGCACGTGTAGCTTCAGAAACAGGCCTACACCTGAATCCCTCGCCGCACCATTAGCTTCCCCAGGACACATGCCAACACAGCGCTGTATTACTGAAAATGGCAAAAGTGCGCCTGAATACTGAGCCCCTCCGCCACAACAAGGCTGGTACGTACGAGTTGGGGCGGCACAAACAAGCACCAAACTGCCATTTGGAGGAGTGGAGATAGGGACAGTTACAGTTACAGTTATTTTATTTTCAATATACTTGTACAGTACATACCGGTGCCGTAAAAACATAACCAGTTATAAACAATTAAGGTGGGATACAGAACAATTGAGAAGGGAGAACAAGATCAGAACAAATACATACAACATGCCTCCACTTGAGGCAAAAGTGCAACTTGCACTTTACAAAACGCGTATATACAGGAGAATGGGCGCGCAGGTCCTGAAAATACAATAGCAGAAAATTTAAAATAAAATAAAAACAACATGCATCGCTGCAAAGCAATGCTGCAAAAAATGACACCATGATCAACCCTGCTCCAGTGATGATGCCGAAGACCAGGTGCAGTATGGTGGCACCGTCGGCATCGGGGCTTAATCTCATCCTAGGAGAAAGGAATTGATCATGGGTCACAGCATGAAAAGAGCAAATGAATGAAGGCCCTGAAAATATCGAAAATATGTACAATTACCACATGGGGACGGTAGTCCTTTTAAAATACATATCAGAAATTTGAGTAAAGGCGTTATAGGTTTCTTCAAACTTAAAGATATTGTCCAGTGTATTGAGAGGCCATCCAATTCCATGTGCCTGAAGCGTGGTTTTGAGAGTATGGCTTTCCATTTCAAGCATTGGACAATTAAGGACGTAGTGAAGATTCCCATCTTGCACATCGCAGATACTGCAGGTAGATTGTTGGTAATTCTTGAACCTGGCCAGATACGAGTAAAAGGCGCCATGACCGGAAAGAATCTGTGTAAGCCTATGACTAGGGAAGTACCACTTGTTGTGCAAGAAATCGACGATGTTGGAAATTAGCTTTGACGTACAGGTAGAGTTGTTATTCCACTCTTGTTGCCAGCAATTCAAGAGATCCTCCCATAATAGGTTTTTGATCGCCTTGGTGTTTATCTTGTTGTATGCACAGGGAATATCCTGGTTCATCGAGGCCTCCTTGGCAAGGAGGTCTGCCCTCTCGTTCCCAAGAGTGCCGACATGGGCTCTAGTCCAATTGATGTAAAACTGGCATGAAGAGGTGTTGATCTCGTTTTGGATGTTGGTGGCAAAGGGGTTGCAGGAGTTAGTTTTTAGTAGGGCTATAGCCGAGGCACTGTCAGTAATGATGTTGATGTTCTTATAAGTAGTGTGGTGCTGGCTGACCCAATCCACTGCTTTGCTTATGGCTATAAGTTCAGCCTGTTGAGATAGGGACAACGTCCCAAAGTCCCGCCGCACCTGTCTAAAAAGATTTCTCGGCAGAACAAGTCCAAAATAAACTATTAAAACTACTAACACCAGAAGACCTAAAATAGATACAAGTAAAACTGGACAATATATAAGAATAATATATAACCCTTCCTTTAAAACTAACATCTAAAACCACGTAAAATTGAACGTTCTAAAAACATTAATTTTAAAATTTTAAACACTCTACGATAGATGGCTTCTGACGAGACCAAACGATATAAATTACCCACATAACCATCACAGTTCAAATAAATACAAGACGACCGTATTCTTGCAAGCTGTGGACACACAAACTGTGGAGATAGGGACATTTTTTTTTCATTGAGTAATCATCATTTCCCCTACTAGGGGATCAGAGTCCTCCCTGTCCTGCTATCGCACCACAGGGAAAACGTTTCTTTATTACAACTTCAACAAGTAACGTTTCTTTCCCTCCACTTAAACAAGTAACGTTTTATTTCTTATCTTACACATCTTCAAAATGCCCACCTTCAGATTTCCAGGATTTATATGATTTTTCATCTTTCTCTTAATACACTCTGCGTCTTCGGTGCCATCCTTACTATCCACCAAAATGACTGTGCCAGACCTTGATCCAATAGGGGTAACATCTGTCTTCCTCACCACATCCGCATAGCTAGTATGTTGGCCTGTCTTCACACTGTTGGCTAGTAGTTGATCAATCTTCTGTTCGATAACTTTCAAGTTGACATCTTCACACTTATGGGTATCCTCAAATACATTTAATATCCTGTCGAAAAAGTTCATTATACAGTTGGCATGGGACCTCAGTTTGGAATTAGAATTATCCTCCAAGTACTTATCCAATTTGTCCTTTATACTCCGAATCCTGGCGTTGCATATCTCCACATCCCCTGACGATCGTATCATCGATCCCTCCTTCTCCATATCCTCCCCATCCATGCATATAGCATGGAGGGAGGAAAAGATTAGTAAAATAAAACAAAAAACAGCAGCAAAAAATGCTGAATAGAAGTCGCTTTTAGCACCCCTAGAAAGGGCAACAGGGCCGCTACGAGTATGCAAGCGACAGTGGGTCAAGAGTGTGATCGACTTAAAAGATTAGTGACAAACACCAACCAAAAGCCACCTAAAACGCACAGTAGCCTCAAAATAACCGCACAAAAGTCGCACACTTAAAAATTTAGGGACTTTGACCCAGTAGATAGGGACATTCATCATTTTTTTTTTTCATTGAGTAATCATCATTTCTCCTACTAGGGGATCAGAGTCCTGCCTGTCCCGCTATCGCACCACAGGGAAAACGTTTCTTTATTACAATGTTTCATTACAACAGATAAAACAACAAATTTTTCATTACAAAATAAATAAAATTAACATTAAACTATTGGGGCACTCTTGCTCGCCTTACAGAGGCCACTGGAAGCTTTCCGATGCAGTAGACTTGGGGTACACTTTCCCCAACCTTTACATCAATATCCTTCTAAAGAAGGAGAATAGATCGCAAGTGAGATTTTTATCCCGTATCATTAGATATAAGTCCAGATTAAGGTTAGTGCTGCTTAGCTGATGGATCGCTGGGAGCTCAACTCTCTGTAGTTCGTATCTGTAACATTTACTTAACAGATGATCCATGTCTTGTAACTCTTTGCCACAAACACAACTACTGTTGTTTTTTACCAATACGCTGTAAGTATGCGTTGCAATTACCGTGGCCAGTTAATACTTGGCTGGTAATGTGGTTTGTAGGAATCCAGTGTAAGTCTCTAACTCGTTCTTCGAGATTCGGTAACAACCAAAATGTATGTCTCCCTTTGCTGGAGTTAGTCCACCTGTCTTGCCATTCCGAAATGGTGACACTTCTACGTTTACATTTTACTCCCGAGAGAGGGAGTTTGCTATAAGTTATATCCGCTAGATGTGTAGCCTCCTTAGCCGCCCGATCCGCGATTTCATTCCCAACAATGCCCGAGTGGGCTTTCACCCAACGAAATTTTATATTAAGTTTATATTTCCGTATAGTAGTTTTTATGTTGACTGCAGTTAAACTGGTATCTTGAAACCTCTGGAGGGCGTGAATTGCTGATCTACTGTCTGTGTTTATCAATACCTTGTTCGATTCACAATTAACTGAGATCCATTCAACAGCCATCTCGATTGCTTTTAATTCAGCCTGAAACACCGAACAACTATCACTTAGTCTGATTTTATCTTCATAAACTTTGTTCTCGTTGTTAATAACAACAAAGGCCGGGAGATAGGGACATTTCATTTTATTATTTCATTGGATAGTCATCATTTCCCCAATCGGGGATCAGAGTCACCCTTGTCCCGCTATCTGCACCACAAGGGAAACACTATCTTTATTTCTTATTTACAATAATACTTTTAAAAGTCTTAATACATACAACTAATTTAATACAATACATTAAAACATAGGCATCTTGCCTTTACATGATTGCGACTCTTGTCGCTAAGGGAGCAACTCGCTCCCTTCCTCCCTCACGACAGAACTTTGTGCGTGAAGGTTTTCATATCTTGGGCTAATGTTTTAGTCCTAATGATTCTGTATAAATCCAATTCAGTGGTATTCAGGCATTCTGTGATTAACAGCCGTAGCTGCATCCTATCCATGTCGTATTTAGAACAGTCATTTATAACATGTTCTAAGCTGTGGTTTCCATTTCCACATTCACAAGATATATCTTGATGTTTTCCGATCCTATTCAGGTATTATTTAGTATTGCAGTGATTAGTCAACAGTTGTGTCATTATATGATCTATTGGGAGCCAGTTTAGATTATGTATTCTTTCTTGAGTGTTAGGAAGCAACCAGAAGGTATGCCGTCCCTTCTCACTGTAGCTCCACTCCTCTTGCCATTCCTGTATGGATTCTTGTCGAAGCATTTTCTTAATATAGGACAATGGTATTTTGTTATATGCTATTTCACTCTGTAAAGTGGCCTCGTTGGCCAGAGCATCTGCTCTTTCATTGCCCATAATGCCTACGTTGGCTTTAACCCACCTTATTTTAATATTCAGTTCATGTTTGTTAATTAAGTTCTTAATTTCTAATGCCATAATATTTCTATCATTAAACTGCTGCAGAGAGCAAATAGCAGCTTTACTATCAGTGTTTACAATAATGATGGAGCCGGTCAGTCGGGTGGAGATGATCCATCTCACTGATTGAAGTATGGCAAAAAGTTCGGCTTGGTGCACAGTGCACCGGTCATCAAGTCTGAATTTGTCATGATATATTTCTTTTTCATTTTGCATGNTGCCATCCTTACTATCCACCAAAATGACTGTGCCAGACCTTGATCCAATAGGGGTAACATCTGTCTTCCTCACCACATCCGCATAGCTAGTATGTTGGCCTGTCTTCACACTGTTGGCTAGTAGTTGATCAATCTTCTGTTCGATAACTTTCAAGTTGACGTCTTCACACTTATGGGTATCCTCAAATACGTTTAATATCCTGTCAAAAAAGTTCATTATACAGTTGGCATGGGTCCTCAGTTTGGAATTAGAATTATCCTCCAAGTACTTATCCAATTTGTCCTTTATACTCCGAATCCTGGCGTTGCATACCTCCACATCCCCTGACGATCGTATCATCGATCCCTCCTTCTCCATATCCTCCCCATCCATGCTTATAGCATGGAGGGAGGAAAAGATTAGTAAAATAAAACAAAGAACAGCAGCAAAAAATGCTGAATAGAAGTCGCTTTTAGCACCCCTAGAAAGGGCAACAGGGCCACCCCGAGTAGGTAAGCGACAGTGGGTCAAGAGTGTGATCGACTTAAAAGATTAGTGACAAACACCAACCAAAAGCCATCTAAAACGCACAGTAGCCTCAAAATAACCGCACAAAAGTCGCACACTTAAAAATTTAGGGACTCGGACCCAGTAGATAGGGACATTCATCATTTTTTTTTTTTTTTTGAGTAATCATCATTTCCCCTACTAGGGGATCAGAGTCCTGCCTGTCCCACTATCGCACCACAAGGAAAACGTTTCTTTATTACAATGTTTCATTACAACAGATAAAACAACAAATTTTTCATTACAAAATAAATAAAATTAACATTAAACTATTGGGGCACTCTTGCTCGCCTTACAGAGGCCACTGGAAGCTTTCCGATGCAGTAGACTTGGGGTACACTTTCCCCAACCTTTACATCAATATCCTTCTAAAGAAGGAGAATAGATCGCAAGTGAGATTTTTATCCCGTATCATTAGATATAAGTCCAGATTAAGGTTAGTGCTGCTTAGCTGATGGATCGCTGGGAGCTCAACTCTCTGTAGTTCGTATCTGTAACATTTACTTAACAGATGATCCATGTCTTGTAACTCTTTGCCACAAACACAACTACTGTTGTTTTTTACCAATACGCTGTAAGTATGCGTTGCAATTACCATGGCCAGTTAATACTTGGCTGGTAATGTGGTTTGTAGGAATCCAGTGTAAGTCTCTAACTCGTTCTTCGAGATTTGGTAACAACCAAAATGTACATCTCCCTTTGCTGGAGTTAGTCCACCTGTCTTGCCATTCCGAAATGGTGACACTTCTAAGTTTACATTTTACTCCCGAGAGAGGGAGTTTGCTATAAGTTATATCCGCTAGATGGGCAGCCTCCTTAGCCGCCCGATCCGCGATTTCAAAAATTTTGGAATTTAGGCTTGGTGCACAGTTCACCGGTCATCAAGTCTGAATTTGTCATGATATATTTCTTTTTCATTTTGCATGTCCAGGTAAGAGGCTCCCACCTGGTTCTCCATCTTCGATCCGTCAGTGAAGATTTCCATTTCTCCACTCTCCTCTTCTTCTGCCATTACAATGGCCTTGCGATTATATGTTCTTGGTAGTATAATTGCAGTTGGTTGACATTCATAATCTGTTTCACTGAGAGAAGTTTCATTTAGTATGATATTGTGACCTCTTCTGCACATGTATGTTTTTGCCTTTTCTTGTGCAACTAGGTCAATTGGCGTTGTTCCCGCTATTACTATAAGTGCTTTGGTAGAAGTTGTACGGTAAGCTCTCGTAATTCTTAGCAGTGCTGTTCTCTGCGTGCTTCTTAGTTTCCTTTTTATGCAGGTTTTCTTCGTGGCTTCATGCCACGCACTTGCAGCGTATGTTACCTTAGGTATAAACGCCCTTTTGTAAATAGTATTGATGCCCGGGAGATAGGGACAAGCGTCCCAATTTGTCCTAAAAATTAACTACCGCACCTGTCTACAGACTTCTCGGTAGAAAATCCCAATAAACAAGTAAAACCAATTAAAACACTAACTATAACCTACTAAAATAATATAAACATATAAAACTGGACCTAAAATAATAAAAATAAATAACAACTTCTATAAAACACTAACCTGCCGTAATTTGATCTTCTAAAAACATTTCACGTAAAACCTTAAAAACCTTGCTATAGATAAACTGAGTAGACACTAATTTACGATAATAATCATCATTATAAAACTGCTGATCTAGATAACTACATGTACACCGCAATGACATAAGACACGGACACAAAAATAAGAAATGACCCAAGTCATCAACATCCCCACATTCACAGAATGAATCCGTGACTAAGTTAAACCCTTGTAGTTTGGCCCGGAAATCCCCATGCCCTGACAAAACTTGACTTACAAAGAAGTCTGGTTGTACCCAACGAGCTCGAACCCTACTCCCAATCGTGAGAAAAAACAATGTTCTCTGCCTGCCTTTATCTGAACTTATCCAACGGGCATTCCATTCTGCATACAATTCCTGCTTAATCAATTTCCCAACCTTGGGGGTAGACATGCCACAACAATCGCGAGGATAGGACAGCGATCCCAAGACAAAAGAGATCTTAGATCTAACCAATGACTTGTAATAATGGTATTTAACCTCCAAGTCCAAAGGCAGGACACCTGCAATTACCTGAAGAGCCTCAATCGAGGTGGTCCGATATGCACGAGTAACAATGAGCAAGGCAACCCTCTGTGCCTGCAACAACTTCTTCCTATCCAGGGACCCTAGCACGTCGCCCCACATACCAGCGGTGTAAACAACAAGGGATACAAACAGATGCCTGTATAGGACCATCAGGGCAGGAAGCTGCAGCCCCCACCCTGACCCCATCAGACCCTGCATCCTCCCAAACTGTGCAACGGCTTTATTAGCAACCTCTCTAATATGACCAGTAACAGAGAACCCCGTACCAAGGCTCACACCGAGATAACGGATACTCTTTGCCATCCTAATGACTACGTTGCCAGCATGCACACTGGGGGGCGATCCGGGCTAAGGGAACCCCGGAGCAACAACATCTCCGTTTTTGCCAGAGCAAGTTGAAGTTTCAATTTATCCAATAAACTCGTCATAATTCGAAGCACCTCGTTAGCACCAAATTCTAACTTAATACGACTATTACCTTTTACCAATATAACAATGTCATCGGCGTATGCCACAAAAGAATAACCCTTACTTTGTAAGGTACATAGAACCTCGTTGAATACTATAATCCACATTTCCGGTCCCAGGACCGACCCTAGCGGACATCCCTTACTCACTGTCTTCTCCTCACAAACATTGCCATGACAATACCTAACAGAATTTGCAAAATAATCAATTACTACTCTATATAAATCTAGAGGACATCCACGGAGACGTAGAGCCCGAAGCACAGCTGGCCACCAAATGTTATCAAAAGCTCCGGAGATATCCAGGAATAACCCCAACACATATTTACTGTTAGACTCCATTGTCCGCATCCTAAGCGTGCGTATAGCATCAACCATGGACAACTGTTCTCTAAAACCAAACTGACAATCATTTATAACATCAAAAAATAACAACTTTAACCTATACTTTAATAGCCGTTCAAAAATCTTACCCATAACCGACAATAAGCAAATCGGACGATAAGACTTAGCATTGCTACGCACTCTATCCTTACCCTTTAATAACACAATTACCTTAGCAATTTTCCAACGATTAGGAAACATACCCAAAAATAAACATGCATTAAACAACCTCAATAAATGCTTACCAATAACTGGAAAACCCTTCTTAATCATTACATAAGTTAATCCATCCAAACTAGGGGCACGTCTCCCTTTTAACCTATTAATAACAAAGTTTAATTCCTGCATTGAAAAGGGCTCGGAAAGGCCACCACTCATATATTGAAAATTTCCACGTCTAACCTCAGACTGCTCAACCGTATCCATCAACTCATCATCATCAGGGAACAAAGTTCCAAACAACTTTCTAA